AATTTTACCCACTTCTAGATTAGCTAAAGATCTGAAATTTGGCTCAATTGTAGGTCTTGCGCCATTACCCATTTGTATTTACCCCCAACCAAAAAGGGGGCCTGGGGGCGTCGTATTTTCAACCCCCCCCCAAATATTAAATCCTCCCCCCCTAATGTTATTCTTACAGGTGCATAAGTCTAAATCACGTTTACCCATTTCTAGATTTACTGGATATCTGAAATTTGGCATGATTGTTGATCTTGCGCCCTTTTCGAAAAGTGACATTTTACAAATATAACTCCCCCCCACGAAAATTAGAATCCCCCCCAATGTTATTCCTACACGTACATCGGTCTAAATCAATTTTACCCACTTCTAGATTAGCTAAAGATCTGAAATTTGGCTCAATTGCAGGTCTTGCGCCATTACCCATTTCTTTTTACCCCCAACCAAAGAAGGGGGCCTGGGGGCGGAGCCCCCAGCGAGCCAAAGGCGAGTCTAATTAACTATACAGCCCGATGTGTAACTCACTCACTGACTCACTGATCAGGTATACTAATGTTTACCCACTTCTAGAATAGCTACGGGGTTGAAACTTGGCACGATTTTAGGTATTGTTCTTAAACCACCAAGAAAATTGCCAAAAGTCACATTTTTAAATTTTAACCCCCCTAAAAAAATTCAAAATGGCGGATTTTTGAAAAGTGCGAAAAAGGCGTTTTTTTAAAACGTTTATTGTGCTTAAACCGTTCGTCTAATCAAAAAACGGAACACACTTACAGTATTTAAAATTAAACGAGCTACAATTTTATAATATAAAGTTTCTTTCTATCTTCACCCCTTCCCCCCAATATTTCGCTCTAAACACAAAATTTTGGAATTTTTCATCATGTTTTTTTGTTCAAACGTCCGTCGCGGCTCAACCGTAGGTCTGATCAAGAAACAGATAGCACCTACGTATGTTTACTTTTGACGATCTACAACTTTGTAGTTTAAATTTTTTTTCCATCTTCACTCGTTCACCCCCAAATTCATGCTTAAACTTGAAATTTTGCCATTTTTCCTTGTTTTTTGGGGGGTTGGCTGCCCTGGAGTAGGTTAAAATCCGTTTTGGGTATGTTTGACCTATTACTTGTTTTTAAATATGCCTAAAGTTCATCCTTAACCGATTTCGGAATTTTCACTCACCCTAATTAACCCTCAAAATTGGGGGGATAGTTTTAGTTAAAATAAAAAATCCCGATTTTGAAGATTCTCGTTAATTAAAAATTATATAAACGCAAGATTATATATAAACAAACAAATGCTTTGTATACAAAATTTTATGGTGTAAATTTTGTTCTAAGGCGCCTTTTACCTATCTATACTCCAACCCCCTCAAAAAACCCCATTTCGATAGTTATGTCCTTGGAATTTAGGAATAAGCCTACTTACACACTCATATTAGCGCTAGAACATTGAAATTTTTAGCGGTGTTGGTATTCGGTCCAAATTACCTTAAATATTATTAAAATCGTTATTTTCTCATTTTAAACCCCCCTTATGGTTTAAAATATCCCCCATGTTAATCAAATAGAGAATTAGCATGCGAAGAATAAAATGGCATTTCAAGCCTTTTTAAGGTCTTAGTAAAAATTTGTAAGTTATTCATGGTCGTAAGTAATTTGAAAAATAAAAAAGAGGCCAATCTCATCTTATACACCCCCAAACCTACAACACCCCCCTAAAAAAACTCAAATCTCATGTAAAACTGTTTCTCGTCGTTCTAGATATTTTTAATTTGTGTAGGTTTAATGTTGTGAAACGGTAGTTTTTTTTAGTTACAACCAAGTTGAAAGTCGTTGTTTATGTCACCCACCCCCCATAACCCCTCTTGCAGAAACTGTACAAGTGGCAATAATAATAACGTTTATAATAAAAGTAAACGATTTTTTTTATGTTTTTATTACAACAGCGTGGCTCTTCTAGATGTGCTAGGGAGTTGAAATTTCGCAAACTTGTAGTTCTCGGGCCCAAACCCCCGGCAAAATCCAAAAAAGTCGCATTTTCAAATTTTAACCCCCCCGAAATTAAGGGTTTCCCCCCATGTTATTCTTATGGGGAATAACATTAAAAATGGCCGACTTTCGTGTGCCCGTCTGAACCACTTAGAAACGTGCTAGAGACTTCAAATTTGCGTAGTATTGAAGTATGAGATCTTAAATTACCGGTGGAATTTGCAAAAGTCCCATTTTCAAATTTTAACCCACCGAAAAATCCAAAATGGCGGACCTCTGAAAACGACAAAACACGTTTTTTTCAAAGGGCTATAGCTCGAAAACGGTAAGAGCTAGAAAAGATTTGAAAGAATCTTGCGAACGGGAATTGAATTTTCTACAAAACCCTTATCGGCGTTTTCCAAAAATCGCACTACTTAAGCTTCAAAATACGCCCTACTTTCAAAATTTAGTAAATTTCTTTCAAAAGTTTTCCGGTTTTCACTATTTTTTCATATTTAAACCATTCTTTTTTGCAGATATTATTAATGCTCTGTATTCTCCTTAATTTACTTTAAATTGTACTTTTACCACTTTTACAAGCCCCGTGTTATTCTTATGGAGAATAACATTGAAAAATGCCTACTTTGGTATGCTCATCTGAACCACTTCTAGAAACTTGAAACTTGGTATTAATGTAGTAGGGGATCTTATATAACGGTGAAATTTGCAAAAGTCCGATTTTAAAATTTTAACCCCTCCAAAAGCTCAAAATGGCGGACCTCTGAAAACGATAAAACACGTTTTTTTCAAACGGATATAGCTCGAAAACAGTAAGAGCTAGAAAAGATTTGATAGGATCTTTATGAACAGGAATTAAATTTTCTACAAAACCCTTTTAGGCGTTTTCCGAAAATCGCACTCCTTCGGCTTCAAAAAACGCCCTACTTTCAAAATTTGGTAAATTTATTTCAATTTTTTACCGGTTTTCGCTATTTTTTCATACTTAAATCATTCCTTTTTGCCTTGTATTATTATTGCCTTGTATTCTCCTTCTTTTACTTTAAATTTTACTTATGACATGAGTTTTCGTAACTTTACTCCTTGACCCCAAAAACTTAATTTTAATGTCAAAATTTGAAAGTTTTTACGAGTTTTTTTATGAGTTATGAGTTTTTATGAGTAAATTTGTAAGTTGAACGATTTAATGACTTTGTTATGGTCATCCGAATCGTTTAGAAACGAACTAGAGACTTGTAATTTTGTAGTATTGTGGTATGGGATGATAAGCTAAGGGTGAAATTTGCAAAAATCACATTTTAAATTTTTAACCTCCCCAAAAATCCAAAATGGTGGACATCTAAAAACGATAAAACACTGAAAGTTGCCGTCTTTGGTATGCTCATCTGAACCGTTTAGAAAGGTGCTAGAGACTTGAAACTTGGTAGTATTGTATTATGGGTTCTTACATTAACGGTGAATCTTGCAAAAGTCCTATTTTCAAATTTTAACCCCCCAAAAATCCAATATGGCGGACCTCTGAAAACGACAAAACACGTTTTTTTCAAAGGGCTATAGCTCGAAAACGGTAAGAGCTAGAAAAGATTTGAAAGAATTTTACGAACAGGAATTAAATTTTCTACAAAACACTTAAGCGTTTTTCGGAAATCGCACACCTTCAACTTTAAAAAAAATGCCCTACCATTAATATTTGGTCAATTTTAATCAATTTTTTTACGATTTTTGCTACTTTTCCCAATCGAATTAAATTCTTTTTGCAAATATTATTAATATTTTGTAGTTACTCTGGTTTACTTAGGGTTTTATCTCCATCGTATTTACAACCCCTCTCCCCCAATATTAAATCCTCTACAATGGGGGACTGGGGCTAAACTCTAATCTACTAATGACGACTAACAGCTAGGGGGCCTGGGGGCGGAGCCCCCAGCGAGCCAAAGGCGAGTCTAAATACTATACAATCCGATGTGTAACTGACTGGGGATACAAATTCTAGACCACTTCTAGATGAGCTAGAGACTTGAAATTTTCGGTGGTTGTAGGTCTAGTGCCCAAACCACCCATAAAATTCCAAAAAGTCGCATTTTCAAATTTTAACCCCCCGAAAATTCGAATTCCCCCCCCCATGTTATTCTTATGGGGAATAACATTAAAAATGGCCGACTTTCGTGTTCCCATCTGAACCACTTAGAAACGTGCTAGAGACTTCAAATTTGCGTAGTATTGTAGTGTGAGGTCTTACAATACCGGTGGAATTTGCAAAAGTCCCATTTTCAAATTTTAACCCCCCCAAAAATCCAAAATGGCGGACCTCTGAAAACGAAAAAACACTTTTTTTCGACCGGATGTAGCTCGAAAACGGTAAGAGATAGAAAAGATTTGAAAGTATATCCAGGAACAGGAATTAAATTTTATACAAAACCCTCTTAGGCGTTTTCCAAAAATCGGACTCCTTCAGCTTCAAAAACCGCCCTACTTTCAAAATTTGGTAAATTTTTATTGAATTTTTACCGGTTTTCGTCATTTTTTCATACCTAAATAATTTTTTTCCGCAAATATTATTATTGCTTTGTATTGTCCTTACTTTACTTTAAATTTCACTTGGTAATTGTTTTTTCGTAACTTCACTGCTTGACCCCCAAAATTAATTTTAATCTCAAAATTTGAAGGTTTTTTGCTACTTTTAC